ATCTTTATCTGAGGAGTAATCATCAAACAGATTGGATCATCAGATTTTGCAGCATTTTCTACCCCTAATAAATGTTACAGGGGGCTTCAAATAATTTGTTTTGGAATTGAAAACTGAGATGCGCGTTTTTAAAACACGAAATTGTTAACGGTTTTAACAGTTTTTCACCCCTACCATCTTTATCTGAGGAGTAATCATCAAACAGATTGGATCATCAGATTTTGCAGCATTTTCTACCCCTAATAAATGTTACAGGGGGCTTCAAATAATTTGTTTTGGAATTGAAAACTGAGATGCGCGTTTTTAAAACACGAAATTGTTAACGGTTTTAACAGTTTTTCACCCCTACCATCTTTATCTGAGGAGTAATCATCAAACAGATTGGATCATCAGATTTTGCAGCATTTTCTACCCCTAATAAATGTTACAGGGGGCTTCAAATAATTTGTTTTGGAATTGAAAACTGAGATGCGCGTTTTTAAAACACGAAATTGTTAACGGTTTTAACAGTTTTTCACCCCTACCATCTTTATCTGAGGAGTAATCATCAAACAGATTGGATCATCAGATTTTGCAGCATTTTCTACCCCTAATAAATGTTACAGGGGGCTTCAAATAATTTGTTTTGGAATTGAAAACTGAGATGCGCGTTTTTAAAACACGAAATTGTTAACGGTTTTAACAGTTTTTCACCCCTACCATCTTTATCTGAGGAGTAATCATCAAACAGATTGGATCATCAGATTTTGCAGCATTTTCTACCCCTAATAAATGTTACAGGGGGCTTCAAATAATTTGTTTTGGAATTGAAAACTGAGATGCGCGTTTTTAAAACACGAAATTGTTAACGGTTTTAACAGTTTTTCACCCCTACCATCTTTATCTGAGGAGTAATCATCAAACAGATTGGATCATCAGATTTTGCAGCATTTTCTACCCCTAATAAATGTTACAGGGGGCTTCAAATAATTTGTTTTGGAATTGAAAACTGAGATGCGCGTTTTTAAAACACGAAATTGTTAACGGTTTTAACAGTTTTTCACCCCTACCATCTTTATCTGAGGAGTAATCATCAAACAGATTGGATCATCAGATTTTGCAGCATTTTCTACCCCTAATAAATGTTACAGGGGGCTTCAAATAATTTGTTTTGGAATTGAAAACTGAGATGCGCGTTTTTAAAACACGAAATTGTTAACGGTTTTAACAGTTTTTCACCCCTACCATCTTTATCTGAGGAGTAATCATCAAACAGATTGGATCATCAGATTTTGCAGCATTTTCTACCCCTAATAAATGTTACAGGGGGCTTCAAATAATTTGTTTTGGAATTGAAAACTGAGATGCGCGTTTTTAAAACACGAAATTGTTAACGGTTTTAACAGTTTTTCACCCCTACCATCTTTATCTGAGGAGTAATCATCAAACAGATTGGATCATCAGATTTTGCAGCATTTTCTACCCCTAATAAATGTTACAGGGGGCTTCAAATAATTTGTTTTGGAATTGAAAACTGAGATGCGCGTTTTTAAAACACGAAATTGTTAACGGTTTTAACAGTTTTTCACCCCTACCATCTTTATCTGAGGAGTAATCATCAAACAGATTGGATCATCAGATTTTGCAGCATTTTCTACCCCTAATAAATGTTACAGGGGGCTTCAAATAATTTGTTTTGGAATTGAAAACTGAGATGCGCGTTTTTAAAACACGAAATTGTTAACGGTTTTAACAGTTTTTCACCCCTACCATCTTTATCTGAGGAGTAATCATCAAACAGATTGGATCATCAGATTTTGCAGCATTTTCTACCCCTAATAAATGTTACAGGGGGCTTCAAATAATTTGTTTTGGAATTGAAAACTGAGATGCGCGTTTTTAAAACACGAAATTGTTAACGGTTTTAACAGTTTTTCACCCCTACCATCTTTATCTGAGGAGTAATCATCAAACAGATTGGATCATCAGATTTTGCAGCATTTTCTACCCCTAATAAATGTTACAGGGGGCTTCAAATAATTTGTTTTGGAATTGAAAACTGAGATGCGCGTTTTTAAAACACGAAATTGTTAACGGTTTTAACAGTTTTTCACCCCTACCATCTTTATCTGAGGAGTAATCATCAAACAGATTGGATCATCAGATTTTGCAGCATTTTCTACCCCTAATAAATGTTACAGGGGGCTTCAAATAATTTGTTTTGGAATTGAAAACTGAGATGCGCGTTTTTAAAACACGAAATTGTTAACGGTTTTAACAGTTTTTCACCCCTACCATCTTTATCTGAGGAGTAATCATCAAACAGATTGGATCATCAGATTTTGCAGCATTTTCTACCCCTAATAAATGTTACAGGGGGCTTCAAATAATTTGTTTTGGAATTGAAAACTGAGATGCGCGTTTTTAAAACACGAAATTGTTAACGGTTTTAACAGTTTTTCACCCCTACCATCTTTATCTGAGGAGTAATCATCAAACAGATTGGATCATCAGATTTTGCAGCATTTTCTACCCCTAATAAATGTTACAGGGGGCTTCAAATAATTTGTTTTGGAATTGAAAACTGAGATGCGCGTTTTTAAAACACGAAATTGTTAACGGTTTTAACAGTTTTTCACCCCTACCATCTTTATCTGAGGAGTAATCATCAAACAGATTGGATCATCAGATTTTGCAGCATTTTCTACCCCTAATAAATGTTACAGGGGGCTTCAAATAATTTGTTTTGGAATTGAAAACTGAGATGCGCGTTTTTAAAACACGAAATTGTTAACGGTTTTAACAGTTTTTCACCCCTACCATCTTTATCTGAGGAGTAATCATCAAACAGATTGGATCATCAGATTTTGCAGCATTTTCTACCCCTAATAAATGTTACAGGGGGCTTCAAATAATTTGTTTTGGAATTGAAAACTGAGATGCGCGTTTTTAAAACACGAAATTGTTAACGGTTTTAACAGTTTTTCACCCCTACCATCTTTATCTGAGGAGTAATCATCAAACAGATTGGATCATCAGATTTTGCAGCATTTTCTACCCCTAATAAATGTTACAGGGGGCTTCAAATAATTTGTTTTGGAATTGAAAACTGAGATGCGCGTTTTTAAAACACGAAATTGTTAACGGTTTTAACAGTTTTTCACCCCTACCATCTTTATCTGAGGAGTAATCATCAAACAGATTGGATCATCAGATTTTGCAGCATTTTCTACCCCTAATAAATGTTACAGGGGGCTTCAAATAATTTGTTTTGGAATTGAAAACTGAGATGCGCGTTTTTAAAACACGAAATTGTTAACGGTTTTAACAGTTTTTCACCCCTACCATCTTTATCTGAGGAGTAATCATCAAACAGATTGGATCATCAGATTTTGCAGCATTTTCTACCCCTAATAAATGTTACAGGGGGCTTCAAATAATTTGTTTTGGAATTGAAAACTGAGATGCGCGTTTTTAAAACACGAAATTGTTAACGGTTTTAACAGTTTTTCACCCCTACCATCTTTATCTGAGGAGTAATCATCAAACAGATTGGATCATCAGATTTTGCAGCATTTTCTACCCCTAATAAATGTTACAGGGGGCTTCAAATAATTTGTTTTGGAATTGAAAACTGAGATGCGCGTTTTTAAAACACGAAATTGTTAACGGTTTTAACAGTTTTTCACCCCTACCATCTTTATCTGAGGAGTAATCATCAAACAGATTGGATCATCAGATTTTGCAGCATTTTCTACCCCTAATAAATGTTACAGGGGGCTTCAAATAATTTGTTTTGGAATTGAAAACTGAGATGCGCGTTTTTAAAACACGAAATTGTTAACGGTTTTAACAGTTTTTCACCCCTACCATCTTTATCTGAGGAGTAATCATCAAACAGATTGGATCATCAGATTTTGCAGCATTTTCTACCCCTAATAAATGTTACAGGGGGCTTCAAATAATTTGTTTTGGAATTGAAAACTGAGATGCGCGTTTTTAAAACACGAAATTGTTAACGGTTTTAACAGTTTTTCACCCCTACCATCTTTATCTGAGGAGTAATCATCAAACAGATTGGATCATCAGATTTTGCAGCATTTTCTACCCCTAATAAATGTTACAGGGGGCTTCAAATAATTTGTTTTGGAATTGAAAACTGAGATGCGCGTTTTTAAAACACGAAATTGTTAACGGTTTTAACAGTTTTTCACCCCTACCATCTTTATCTGAGGAGTAATCATCAAACAGATTGGATCATCAGATTTTGCAGCATTTTCTACCCCTAATAAATGTTACAGGGGGCTTCAAATAATTTGTTTTGGAATTGAAAACTGAGATGCGCGTTTTTAAAACACGAAATTGTTAACGGTTTTAACAGTTTTTCACCCCTACCATCTTTATCTGAGGAGTAATCATCAAACAGATTGGATCATCAGATTTTGCAGCATTTTCTACCCCTAATAAATGTTACAGGGGGCTTCAAATAATTTGTTTTGGAATTGAAAACTGAGATGCGCGTTTTTAAAACACGAAATTGTTAACGGTTTTAACAGTTTTTCACCCCTACCATCTTTATCTGAGGAGTAATCATCAAACAGATTGGATCATCAGATTTTGCAGCATTTTCTACCCCTAATAAATGTTACCGGGGGCTTCAAATAATTTGGTTTGGAATTGAAAACTGAGATGCGCGTTTTTAAAACACGAAATTATTAACGGTTTTAACAGTTTTTCACCCCTAGCATATTTATCTGAGGAGCAATCATCAAGCAGATTGGATCATCAGGTTCTGCAGCATTTTCTACCCCTAATAAGTGTTATAAAGGGCGTCAAATAATTTGTTTTGGAATCGAAAACTGAAATGCGCTTTTTTAAAACGCTAAATTGACGAGTTTAAGAGTTTATCAAACCTATCTTATTTATCTATTTATGTCTTCTACCCCTAATAAGTTTACAGTGGTTGTCAAATAGTAGTTTTTCAATCTCAACATACTTAGTTGAGGAATTTTTGGTTTCAGGTTTATAAAGGGTTACCTAAAAAGAAATGGTCCTGTTACCGACGAGAACAGGGAATTCCTTCAGATGGCAAAGTCCCAATGGCTCCTCCGCTTGTCCCGTTCTCTACCCCAATCAGTTTTGGATAAATCATGGCCCCCATGCCCCTACATTTGTCAAACTGCTTCAGAACAGCTTCGCAAAATGTACATGTCCCATATGTCTAGAATTTACCGTCTTCGATTGTCCCCCCAACGCAAACAACAATACGAACTCAAAGTCCTGGCAGAGGGGATTTTCAAAGACAAGAAGAAGAGTTATCCTGCCAGCGTGACTCAATGGTTCATCGACGAAAGGATCGAAAATGAAGAAATGAAAGGACTCAAAAACGGTTATGTATCTTCCCAGTTGCCTTCTGGGGAAAAGGAATTGTACTCAACATCGGTACTCAAGTTTGATAGACATGGTTATAAGCCAAGAGAAAGGGTCCTTTTGGCCACCAATAAGGCTCTTTATCTCCTTGAAGTCAACAAACACATCAAGTTAAAGCATCGTTTACCATATGAAATGATTTCTTTGGTGGTAACTTCAGGAAATGATAGGTTACTCCTTATTAGGGTGGCAGATGATCTCGTCAAAAAAGACAAAGTATGTAAAACCCAAATAGATTTATTCAGAAGGGTATTTTCTGTATTTTTTTATTTTAGGGGGATTTAATATTGGAAGTTCCTCAACTAATCGAAGCTGTGACCAAGATAATTGACATTATTAAGAAAAAAGACGTACTTACTATAATAGAAACTAATACGTAAGCAAATCAATTACTTTAGCTTTTATTGAGGCAAATTTAAATTCAAATTTAAGGACTATGTATATAAGTTAATATAATTTTGCTTTTTAGGATTGAGCATCATATGAAGGGTAAAAATGGAATTATTGAGGTAACAACAGGAGAGACAGAAAAAATTTATAAAAATAAAAGTGGTCATTTGCTTATAGTAAGTATTAATGTTGAATATGAGTAAATCATAACTGTGATTAATTCTTTTCACAATGACTAATTATAATTCTTATCGTTTTAGGTGGCTTCGCCGTAATAATATTTTGGTTTTTAATAAAAGGTCGACAGTATCACACGTGCATTACTTATAGAGAATGTTTTAAATTGCTTTTTTTTAACTGAAGTTACTTGTATGTGCCTTGGATAAAGTGCCATTTATAGCCTTTATGAATAAATTTTATTATTGTTTTATTTGTAAATATACTTTGTAAGAGAAACAAATAAAAAATAAACTATAATTCATTTATTATTAAGATAACAATACAAACAATTATGTAGCAACTACAAACTTTACATATATTTTTAAGTATTTATGTAGGTTCAATATTTTGTTGAGCAACAGCCTTCTGTGCTTTCGATAGGTTCAGCTTTGTATTGCTGCTGTAAGCTACGCTCCTTACTTCTTCTTCAATGGCTTTATTTAGATTCTTGGTTAACAGCTTTTTCATTTTCTGTTCGCTCTTCATTTTACTCTTTTTTGGTTGAATAGGTTTATCTTAAATAGATGAAAATAATTAGTAACTGATTAACAATTAAGAATAGCTAACTTACTGATTCTTTTTGCTAGTGAGGTAACGTTCTTGTTGGGCTTTTTTGATTTTACTCCTTGTGGTACTTTTGTTTTCACTTTTAGTTTTCCTTGGGCCATGGCTTATTAATTATATATCCAAAATAATTAAGAAAATTGTTTATTATATATTATTTTCAATAAAATTTCTTAAAATAACCTTACTTTTAAAAGTCAAATTGCTAGGTTAGAACTATAGAATAGAAGAAAGAACATTCTTTGGGAAGTAGGAGATAAAGTATCTCCATAACAGTATAACTTTTACAATTTAAAAAATCATTAAATCATTATATATAATTATGTTATTAATAAAATAAAGCAGCATTTTTTATCGCGTTCAATTTTAAGTCTTTAGTGTACTATTTTAGAGATAATTTACTTAAAACAATAGTAACAGGTATAATTTTTCTTTAGGTTGGCATATTGGGGATATTTACACAGCAATGTTGGCGATCAATAACGACTGGGTGCGAAGGTGGAAGTGAGGTTGACAATTGAATTGTAGTCCTTCGTTGTTTTCAAGTTTTTTATTATAGATGTACATATTCAGTTCTTTTCTAATTAATTATTTTTAATGTAATATGGCATTATGTACTCCCTGTGGAAAGTTACACTTTTTTTTCTTTTATTCATAGTATTTATTACAGGTTAGTTGAATTTACTTCTGTACTTTGTTAGAAACATTTCTTATGTTTTCTTGTAATTAGGGTCTAAGATTCAGCAATATGCTGTAGACGTAGGACGCAACGCAACGATACCATGTAGGATTTCCAATACTCCTAGTGAAGTGAATTGGGTGAGAAAAGGAAAGGGAAGGTTGACAATTCTTGATGATGGTTCCCTTTTTCTGAATAACGTTAGTCTTAACGATAGTGGCATTTATTTTTGCATTTCATCAGGAGAAGATGGTAATGACTTGAATTACACAGTTAATGTTAAGGTTCGAAGTAAGTAAAAGGTTTTCTGCATTTGTCATTAATACAAAAGCGTCGTTTCTTTGTGTGGTAGCAACCCCTAATGCATTAAACTTCACTGTACATCCGAAGACAGTGATTGCACTCCTCTGCTGGGATGTATTAAATACAGGTGGTTATCCAATAACTGGCTTTGCAGCTGAGTACAGGTTGTTTAATAGTAGTGAAGACTGGAAAGTGATATCTTCTAGAATAAGCTCAAATTCAGTAAGTTGGTTGTGTTTTTTATTTGGGATACTAATAATTGATGCTGTTAATTGATTTAGCGAACTTATGAAGTCTATAATTTAAAACCTAACACCACTTACACATTTAGAATGTGGGCTACAAATCAACTAGGTCAAGGTGCTATCACTGAAGTGCATAAAACTACCTTACACAATAACCAAAGTGCTGGTATGTAATTAATTGTCTTTTTGTGATAGAATGTATTCTTTAATAAACATTTTTGGTAGAATTAGCGAGACATTTTTTGACAAATGCCCATACATTTGATACCAGGGTATGGGCCATTGCTGTAGGCATTGTCATGGGTACCCTTTTAGTATTAGGAACTGGTACTAGTCTTCTTCTCTACCAAGAATGCCGAACACCTAATGGTAAGATACTCTATTAATAATGCCATCACTGTGTACGTCTTTTTATTAATTTGTTAGCGTTTAATTAGGCTCTGATGCACAAGAAATAATCGAATTGGTTCCGAATATAATTTTAAATCCGGGGTTTGAAGAGCGCGGTGGTCTCGCTGACGAAAATTCTAATAACGAAACGGCTGTTCATCTGAATAATAACAGCGTAGTTCAGCCCCAGAACATGTAGATTTGTCTTTTTTGTTGCTGAAACGTGATATCTGATGATAAAAAAATGCTTCCAAAACGCAGGTGTTGTAGTGGCTTCGAAAGTTTTCGTATTTTGTGTCGTCAGAAGAGGAGTTCCATTTACAAAACAGAAAATATTTTTTACATTAGAAAAGGACATTGCCAGGAAAGCAAGGCAAATTTTCTTGAAACTAAGTTAAGTTGTAATCAATGATTACATCTCAAATTCATTTATTTTTGGTTTCACATTAAGTGTAATCATTGGTTACAGCATAGAATAGACGAGGCAAATTTGACTTACTTATCTAGCATTTGGAACTATTATTTTAATACTGACAATTATTTTTTAAACAACGAATACATTCCAAAAGAAAAAAGAAATATGGAAATGGAACTTTGCTTTCTTGAAGGTTGTGATAAGCAGCTGAATTTGATAGAGTGTTGTAGTGATAATATTGTTCTAGTCTTTTAGTTTTCTTTTTATGTTTTGTAGACGTGCCATTTAAAGTGCCATATCGAATAATAATAATCATTTATAGGACATAAATAACACACAAATACTCTAATTTCACAATTTACTAGCTTAGTGACTCTTTCTCTCTATTTCAAATTAACATCTACGTGGCTCTAACGTTCTGATGTCTAAACAACATTTTGAAAATTATTAAGACTTTAAATTGAATAACCCAATAGATATTTTTATAAATTTTTATAATTAAGTACAAAAATAACAACAACAGTTACCGTTTTGATCTTGTTTAGTTCAAATTAAATTTTTTAACTGATTATTTGGACGTTAATTTAACTGAAGATGACACCGCAGGTGTCGAAACGTATTTTAGTTTTTTTTTTACGCTGAATTTGTGTTTTAGTGTTTCATTTAACTTCATAATTAATATTAATCTCCAAACAAAACAACAATTCGGTCTTATTTCCCTTTTATTACCTTTTCTTACAAAATGATTCTTATATTAATAATGAGCTTGTATTGTACATTATGTAGTATGCAAAATATTACATGCTTATTAAATAATTCTAAATCTGATTAAAGAGAAAACAAATTAACACATTTTCTCTAACTTTTCTTCCTTTTCTAAATTAGTTAGTAAGTATTTCTATTTATTTTTAGCTTAGTAGAAGCAAATGAAACAGTAGATTATTTGGTGAAAAAAAAATGCAGTGCCTAAATAGGTAGTTTTGTAATTTATATTTATAAAACACAAAAAAAGAAGTAAACGAACGTAGACTGAGACAATTTACAAAAAAGTAAAAAGAAAAAACGAAGTAATTAAATGCAAGATATTTCATGAAGTAATTAAGTATTATAGAAGACGTACGCTTTCTAAATGAATAAAAAATTAGAATTATTCAACAACTTGCATTCATTTAGATATATAATGAAAAAAGTCTCACAAACTTTAACACGTATATACACTTATTTGCATTTAGACAGTCTGAGTTTGTAACCAGTTTAGCTCTTAGAATGTACACAATATTTTCCTTGAACCGTATTCATTTACTGTGTATGCAGTGTGTAACAAAAATCAGAAATATTAAATTCGATATATTTAAACTTATGCTCAATATTCCTGGCTTTTGTTGCACACCGTGTAATAGATAATTGGGTTTGATTAAGTTAAGAGAATGTCGCAGTTTATATAATTTTTTATACTTTTTTTCGACCATAATTTCATGTAAGTGCCATTTTTTGTACTATTTTTATTTGCATTTAATTTCGAAAAGAACCAGGAAAAAAGAAAATGATTGTGACTATTAAATAATAGAAAAACATTTCTTCCTAAAAACGAGATTGAAAAGTTGGTTGTATATGTATATTAAACGCTATATTAAAGTAAATGTTCCTTTAATTGTGGACAAAGGTTGTGCTATGTAATTGATGAAAAGACAATGGTTGTAATTTATACTCGATTTAAGTTAGAAGGTAATATTTGTACGGTTGCCATTAATATTGTATATTTTCATTACGTAATCGGTTTTTTAAATGTAATAATGAAAAATATATAATTTATTGGTGGCAATATAAGCGAATCGCTTGATATTGTTCTGTTGCTGAATTGTACTGTTGAGTGTTGTTCATGTAAAGTGGTTTTTGGATCGTGTTAAGAATAAGAAATGAAAGTGCAATGTGACGATTTTCAGTCCTTTTTTTCGTCTTGGGATTCCCTTTAATCGTTTTTTAATCACTAAATAAGTAAGTAATAAGGACCTTTAGAAGAAAATGAATTGCACAATTCTAAAAGTTTTAGATCCCTGAGTGGATGTAAAACTTTTATAATTCTAATATTTTGAGAAAAATTATTGTCCCTTGACGTTTGTTGTCCTGTCTCAATAATTTAATTAAAAATCATCACACTGCACTGTATCCATATAAATTTTTTTGTTAAACAACCAAATAATTAATATGATATTAATCAGGGTTTTCTAAATTCCTGTTGGACAGGTAATACTATTTATAAAACGTATTTAAAAATGCAATTATTTAGTTAATCAAACAGTTAACACATATCAAAATATCCTTTTATTTTACAGTAACGATCTTGTACATATTTATTTATCTTGTCTTTATATATACTTTTCAATTAAAAAGAAACCTTTATATTCAAATATATTTTTGAACTGTGCAATAGAATATGGACAAATGGTTAATTTGTTAATTACTACCTGTTTAATTAACTTTCTGAGTATAATAATTAATCTGCAATATTATCTAAATAACGAAATAATTGTAATCTATGAGTATGTTAAATTTAATGTAAAATATGTAATTATTTTTATCTGTTTTTAACTTTATACGTTCCTGGTTATTTTTATACTCGATTTATATGTTTATTATTATTTACCAAAGGTTACGTGTGATTGTAATTGATATTATACTGTATTTTGTATTATACATAAGCTTTTTTCTATACACATGCTTAAAGTTTTATACGTTATCACGATAAATAAAAATTCGAAAAAGTTTACCTCTTTTATAACTTAAAATGTAGTTATTTAGGTATGATAACAAAATAATACAAATACTGAACACGAAGGGCAGGAGTAACCAATTGAAATTGTTGAAGCTCATTATTTTCTGCGGTTTTTTGGTAGAAGTAAATACTTTAAGTTTAAACAATTTAATTATGACATTACAGTAATTGTCTCCTTTCTTTTGCTAGTTTACTTCAAAACTACAAAGAAAAGTGTTGAGATTTGTTCATTTTGGAATTCAGGGATTTTTCCAGATTAACAGATTTATATTAGAATAAAGAAGGTGAGTTATTATAAATTAATTTGCAAGCACATGTTGCACTTATATTTGATATTTCATTCTTAGTTATCTTTTGTGTTTCCCTTAGAAGAGAAGTGGATTAAGAGGATAATAAGGATGACATTATTTCAGAGGTCTCTGAGAATTAAAGACGCGGGCGACTGCAAATATAAGGTAAGTGTGTATAATTACCTAAGTAATTAATACGGTACACATTAAACGGGGACTAAAAACGTGTGTATTATCTAAGAATAATATTGATAATATTTAATAGTGTTATCAACAAAGACACATTGATTTCATTCTTATTTGTTTGTTTATAATTATATATAAAAGAAATTATTAATGCTGTCAGTACAGGCAGAGAAGGGGCAGTATTTCGTATGCTGAAGTGTACGATGTGTTGCATACCTAAATAGGAAACAGTTCCTTTAAATCATAATGGGTATCTGTTATCTATGATCTTTATCATTGATTACTATACATCTATTAAGAAACCATAATGGCCGGCATCAGTAACAATGCGACAACAATTGAAAAAGAATGATGGCCGACAACTGCAACAATTAGAAAAGAATGATGGCCGACAGCGGCAACAATTAGAAAAGAATGATGGCCGACAGCGGCAACAATTAGAAAAGAATGATGGCCGACACTACGTCATAGTGGAGCAATAAACATGGTCGGGGGTAGGGGGAAAAACTAGTTATTTTAAGCAATTTTATGAGCTTTCAGAATCTGAAAAAATTCTAAACAAAATGCCTTTTACAATGAAACAATACTTTTTAGACGTTTATGTTTGTTTATTTACAATATTATCTTAATACAAATACTAATTGGCTAAATTAGGTGAAGAAATAACATATTGGTCATAGTTTCAACATGAAAGAAATAATTATCTCTAAACCACACGAATAAAATAAGAAAATAACAATTTTTACGCGAAAGCATCTTCTCTATCTGCTCCGCTTCCATCGCCGTCTTCTAATGAAGAAAAGTTTAGGAAATGGGCAGGTCTGTGGACTTCGTGATAAAATTCTTTTGGATTTGCCAATTGCAATTCATACTTCATGTTAGGATCATGCCGGACACCTTAAAAGAGATACACATATTAACCTTTTATTCGTAATCGTCATTAATTTATCATATTCTTACCCATAAAGTTATAATTCCAACTGCCCTGTGCGGGCACCATGAAGAACCCGAGGAATCTGTCAGACAGCAACATCTGCACCTTTTCATAATGACTTGGCAGGTATCCTTTCGGATTATTCCCTTTGTCTGTGTTCTGCCTTCCCCATTCGTATCCAGAAGGCGTTAATTTGTATGCCGTGAGAGAGCACGAACCGGGGGTGAATGAGCATGTTATTATAATGGTTTTCTCTCCGTCCCATGCTGGATTATCGGCCATAAGACGGGCGTGGGTAGTGATGTCTTGGGGCGACAATTGGGGCAGTTCGTTGGGCTGAGTATGAATCCAACCTAGAGGTTCCATGTCCTTTAAGAAGGGATGATTTGGAGGTGTGTGGGGAATATGCACGGTCTGATGAGTGCCCCATTGTGGGGGTAACACTAGACACCGTAGTTCTTTGACTTGAGGGTTATCTGGAGGACTCACGCCGTACAAAAAGGCACAGATCTATAATAAGTATAGAAAATAATTAGAGGTTTTTATTTGATTAAAAACACTTTTAATATTTACCTGAGCTCTGAGATCTGAGATGGTGACGAACTTTTTGAGCACGTTCTTGGGTAGAATGTACGTGTAACCAGTTTCTTTGATGTCGTCTGAACTGACATAGATGTGGTTCGTACGCAGATGTAGATTGGTGGCTGAAATGGCCCTTACTCGCCACTCGGTCTTTGAACTGAACGTTTGTGTCTCGTAATTGCTCGTGGTGCTTGTGATGATTTCGTCTCCGTGCTTGTTGACCGTTCTGGTTGTTGTGGCTGTTAATTGCGACTGTTCTTTCGTTTGTTTTTCGATTTCTGCGATCTGTTGGCGTTGTGCCGAAGGGGCGCTGATTTCCATACCCAGAATTATATCACGGATTTCCGACTGAGTCAGAGAAGCCACGTTTACACTAAACAAGAAAAAAAAATTGTATAAAAAAGGAAGGCAATTGAGAAAGATATCGACGACTTACTTGTTCTTCTTTCCATAATCGGCTAAAATGAGGTCTTTTAATTGAACTTCCACTTTGATCCATTCTTCGTCAGTTAGCGTGGGCCATATATGATGAGGTTCGGTAATAGTTGTCTTGTCTGGTTTCAAAATAATCTTTGTCCTTTCAGTGTTGACATGTAGAGCCCTTAAGATCAAGATTAAACGGGAGAATGCCTACAAAGAAATAAAAAATGCAATTAATTGCAATCATTATATTATCCCAAAAATGGTAAATTTACCGTGTAAGACGAAATGGTTTTCAGCCAGTCATCGTATAAGTTGAAGAGTACCATTTGAGGCTCTGTAGCTTTTAGTATGAGGTCGCCAAACTTTTCGACTTTGAGACAGGCTTGGAAAGGTAGTTGTAATTCTGATCCTTTAATTACGATGTTGGGGAAATCCAGAAGATGCACCTCCAATGGATCCAACATTCCCTTTCTGGTTACAATGATCTGTTTAGGCTGTTCTTCTACTGGGAGAGAACGAATAAGGGCGGCGACTTCTTCAGCAGTTTTCCATTTTGCTAACTGTAGTCAGGGGGTAGGTAAATTTAATTACTATTATTTAATAAGGGACTGGGGGCATAATATTTTTTACTAGCAAATTACTGACTCACCTGTCCAAGACGTTTCTGTCCTGCCCATACACTTGTGTGAATAATCTTTAAGAAAAGTTGCCCAGTTCTAGGATTAAATATGAAGATAGCCCCGTTGATGGGTTTCGTGGTCAAATTGCCCTCAAATGTCTTATGAATTGTGACCCTGTATACGTTTGTGTCGTCCACAAACCAAATGATTTGATTAGAGAACAATTCCCCGTAATTTTGACTGGACAGATAAGGTTCTGTGGGTTCACTGGAGTACAACTGCAAAGCTTTTCGAATGCGTTCACGTAACACGTATAGAGCAGGGTTGGCCTTCATTATTTTAGCCATTGCTTGCTGGATGAGCGGTTTGCAACCAGGGAACCAATTACCATAAGCACTGAAAATAAGAAAATAATCAGTTTATTAAAGTATTTTGTGAAGATTGTTTTTAATTACCTGTGTAAATTGTAAGCCAGATCGATAGCGATCAAAACTCCTGTGGGGGAAGGATATATTGACATGTTATCTGTCGTGTAGTCCAGGAATTTGGCTCGGGCGTACCGTTCAATGTCGTGGGAATCGTAATCCCCCCATCGAAGTTGCACGTCGATCCAGTACTTCTGTGTTGTTGTGTTGTCCATCGTATCTCTGCAATTAGTTGGAAAAAAACGTTTATATTTTAGGTATAATAATCTTGTAGTTAATTGTCTACTTGGTATCTGCAAGCAGGGAGGGTCTTGAAACATTCCATTTGTATGCTGAGAAAAGAAGAATGTCGGCACACGAAGAGTTCATTTTGTAGGACTTCCTGGGATGGATTGTTTCCTTTTGGACTGTTTCTATTTCTAATGCGTCCAGTTCTTGATCGAAAACCTGCAACGATAAATAACATTTAGATAAAAGCGTTCTAATAGTATTTTAAAAACTTACCTGACAAAGATCCATGACTATAGATTCGTGTACTTTTTGCCACAAATGGGCTCGGAATATCTGAATGAGTGAGATTTTCAGCGTAGGTATTTTACCATGCATAAAAATACCAGTAAGGTCGAGTTGGACTTGGAAACCGACGTAAACGTTAGCCCTGTTGATAGTCGGTGACCACCAGAGGGTGAAACGACGATTGGGAATCTGATTAAGACCGGATCTTTGAGCGTTAGTCAGTTTCTTGTATTTCATAGATTCCTCGAAACCTGACGCCTTTTCCCTGAAAGAAAAAAGAAAATAATTTAAGGACTTTCAATCGAAAAATAAAATTAAAATAAAATCTTACCAGAAAAGACCTTCCCACGTTGGAAAATATGTCCCCTTGAAGAGGGTGTGTTCTAGGATACCCTCAACACCTCCCAAGGCCTGAATCATATCAGTTCTGTAATTGTTAAGGTTCCAAAGTTTACCATCATGTCTCTGATGCGTCCACCAGAACGGGTTCTGCTTCAGGACCTGATACTGCTTGAATTCAGTCCTTATACGCCAACCCTTATCGTATGCCAACGTGTGCCTGTCTTTTTGAAAGAGAGTATTAATTCTGGGGATCCCACGGTCCCACGAATCTTCCAAGTCTTCTAATGTGAGCCGCCTGAAAATAAAACAATTATTAAGTAATTAATTACGACAAAGAAATTAAATTTAATTACCTGTTTTGTGCGTTGGCCTCTTGCCTCTTTAGTGCGTACTCTGCCCAGACTCTTTGGGAATCTATAAATTCGGATTCCCACGGTTGAATGTAACGATATAAATTTGGGATGAGCTGGTCCTCGTCGTGGCTCATACCGGACCGGAAATGGGTGATTCCTACATCGGTTTGTTTTGACCATCGCAGATCAGACTAGGAAAACGAAAATAATTATTATTTGCATTTAGTTTTCTTTGGGTGACATTTGTTCGACTTACTTGTGGTATAAGAACGTGTCCCATGGACAACATTCCGAGACCTCCGAGTTCTTTAGGGGTGTAGAAAACTACGGGGGGAAATCTGCTGGGCATTTTGGAGTTTAAGCCGATTTTTATACGAGTTTGAATTTTATTTTCGCATTTTACAAGAAGATCTAACAGTTCTTGGGTGTTGACAACAGCCTCACGAAAATATGTCATCAAACCAATGAGAGCTGTGTTCCATTTGTTTACAATCTACAAAGACAAGAAAGTCAGCCTTAGAAAACAGGAAAATATATTAATAAATGTAAACCTTTGTGAATGTAGTGGATCCTGATGCCATAAGAATCTGTCTGACTCTGTTATGGAACCTTTGCATTGATTCGTCATCGACCCTTAAGAAACATTGGGCGGTTCGTTCTTTGCTTCCCTCGTGCTGTAAGTTCCATACACCATCTCGGTGAGTGAATTCTTCGTGTTGTGTGCGACACTGTGAAGGTAGTAAGCAAATTAAAACTTATTAATTCCCACAATACAACACAATATGATTTACCTTTGGTAATATACGACATTCAAATCCACACATGTTAAACAACAAATTTGGATTATCTTTGGAATAAACGCTCACGAAGCTGTTTTCCCATTGTATGGTGGTCACTGAACGAGGTAGACGGTTTTTGATGTCCCAGAACACAGCTCGACCCCTGAAATATCAAAATCAAATCACATTGATCACAAATCTACGTTAACTGCTTACAAATTGACATCGTGTTTCATAAGCCTCATCCTAGCATCCCTTGGCCAACACTTTTTGTTATTGTAACCAACAATATTTTCGTTGTTGGGATCGGGATGCTCTGTCAGGTATCTTTGTATAAGTTCCCTGGCCTCGTCCGCAGTGAATCTAAAGAATATGTGTATGCGATCCACATATCTGCAGTATAACCGTATTGGATGACACGTTTCAGTTGCGGTGTCCTGATAAGTAAGAAAATCGTTGGGCATTTGTGGGGGACCTGCCATTTCGCTCGCCCGTTGTAAACCCAAGACGAGAAGATCAAGGACCAAACCGTAATACTGAGTAATGAAAGAAGCGAATTGGAGCCCCCTTATTATACCATAGCTGTTTGTATGGTTCATGTCTTTATAATTGATGACAACGTTGTTCTTGGCTGTCATGTAGTCGGCGATGTTGTGGTCGACAATTAGACGGAGGAGACGATTCAGTAGGGTCAAGTCGATTTTTTCATACAGTTTTTCGAACTTTGATTCTAACAGGACGTTACACTCGCCTTCTGATACGTCCCAAATGTCCTGCAGGTTGTTAATACCTAAGGGAAGAAGTAGAATGGTATTAGAGTTATTCGTATAGGCTTTTGATTTTGGTGAAAATAACGACAGCGAAATTCTTACCTTGACACCACTTGTAAACCAGAAGGGGTGGAGGTTCAGTATCAGCCGGTTTGATCCATGGAGGAAACAGGCGTCTTTTGTCGGCTTCGTACCATAGATACTGATCCAAGTAAGCATCAGTGATTTTTTCCAAAGGCTCTACGTCGTACACTGGTATCAAGTGACTGTACAGATCCATGAATTCAATACCGACCTATATAAACAATTAGAATCACAAAACGAGTCAATAAAACGTAGTAAACACTTTAAGGAATAACTCATTACCTCTTTAAATGCTCTCTGAGTCAAAAGGTGTCGTTTTATCCTCGACAGGGCCTCGTGAGGGTTGTCATAAGCCTGTTCTATCAATCCTAATTCTTCCCTTTGGCTCTGGTTCAGACGAGACTTGACACTGTAAAAGAAATGCAACTTTATTACTATCTCACACAAAACAAGTTAAAAGAATTTGATATTAATTTGTTCAGTTTGCGCATGTTTCCAACCCTCGTCCGCTTCGCCTGTGCAAAGTCAGAGCGAGGATTGTCAGCCTACATTTTGACTGACTTCCGGACCCCTGCGCGACTCATCATTACAAAAGAAAAACTGCAAAACAATTAAGAAGAATTCAATAAGTAAAATAAGTACCTGTAGGCTTCTTTAAGCCTTTCCAGAGCCAGGATAAGGAGTTTCGTGTCATGTTTGTAAGACAAAGGAGGAAACGGAATGGGGGCGAAACGTCTAGACTCCAACCAATGTACTGTCGTCGTGTAAATAGCCACGGCTTCTTCGGGAGATATATACGGTCCATCTTTTAAATAATTGTGTTGTCTTTCTTGTTCAGCTTTGAGATACAACCTGGTCAGACGTCCCAAATTCTTTTTGCACACTGTTTTGTCTACAGTAGCACCCCTACGTATTCTTTCTCTGTTGTAATGGGCCGTGTTAGTCCACCAGTCAGCCTTCATCTTCACATATCTCAAAATCATGTTTTCAATCGGTATTGGTAATCCAGGAACCTAAAACAAATAATTAAAAACACCACATAGATAATTAATTAAGGAGTTTTGTGGATGTTAGTACCTTCCACGGAATGTTGGCCTTCCAGCACCTCCATGCTTCTGATAGATGCTGTAGAATAGTTCGGGCCTTATTTTGCTTGATACCTTCGGGCATCATGTCCACAATATCGTGCATGACAGAAGCCCTTAGCTCGAGATCGAAATGCGACTCCACTCTTTGTTTCGTAACAGTTTTGGCAACACCTTTTGAATGTCGACCCTCAAACTGTCTCGATAAAAGATTACCGAGCCATCGTTCCAAAAGAGGAGTGATGCCACGCATGAAGAACAGCCACACGCGCCAGCCGGGGGCCCAGAATCCACAACCAGGACCTTTACCAACCGGGCCCTGTGCAGAATAATTGTTTCTTTAACCATCAGATATGTAAAAGATAAAGGTGACACTTACAGTGTTAAATCGGTAATAGATTAGATGTTTTAAGTCTTTGCACATTCTAATTTGTCTCATTAGCTTGTACTTGTACCTATACATTCCTGTTAGTTGGCCTACATGTGCAAAAATATACTGAAGACCGTCTGCAAGCTGGAATGCGTCAACGTTGTTTAGTCGGTACTGAACATGAGAATCGATTATTAACTTTGTCAGTCTTAAGATTTCTCTACACAAATGGAACGCTAAAAATAAGACAAAATTATTTTTCAATCGTGAAAACATTTTAATGCACAACTAGGCAACATATTATTCTATTAATAATAAAAGCAATGCAGTTACCATTTCCAAATCTGGACTTCTTTCTTTCCTTTGTTGTAAGGGTTTTGACAGGTTTCAAGTTGAAGTTGTAGTCCAAATGTAAGTAGTTTAAGTTTTTTCGATGGATGAGGAGATTGAGCATATTGTACCCTTGACGACACACCTGTAGACCAGCCTCTACCCAATCAAGAGTGGTTGTTTGGAAGAATTTGGTTGCTTTGAAAGACCGGAATAAATATCGTTTTTTCTGTGCTTTAGGAGGTCTATGTTTCAGGGCGTTCAAAACGAAATATTTAAGCAGTTTTTGATAGCTGACCCGAACCTTGACAGGCTGTCCTGGAGGACAGTGTTCTTGGTACCACGATTTTACCAAAGGCACGTCGATAGCCCTTCGTGTGCGTCCTTAAAAGGATTGCGTTAAAACAAAATTGATTTCACGCAGAAATAAGACAATACCTGAACGTAAATTAAAGGGTCTTGGGGCCCAAAGAAGGGCTATTCCATTAGCAGTATTGTCTGTGTAAAGAGGGGTCTCCAAAAGGAATGGTTGCACAGCTTCTGGAAGAATATATTCTTCATCATCTTCTGGAAGGGGTTCCAGACTTTTTACAGCGTGTCGATGGGAAATGGGATTGATTAGGGGGTCGAAATAGAAGGCTGGTAAGTCAGGATCTTCTGTTTTTATGTAGACGACATTTGGGGTGTGATACCTAAAGAAAACATTAATATATTTTAATACCTGTTTTTCATAAATATTTGTGTTAGTATTTAGTACTAATTAGTACTAAAATATAAGGCCTATAGTTAAGGGACCAGATTACCCCTTGTTTCTTTGTTTGTGGTACCCAGCAAGTCTTTAATTACATTTACATAAAGAATGAATATCGACCACGAAATTTCCTCTGCCACACATCTAGTTTCTTGCTGTAATGTCTCAACAAGCAAGAAAAAACTTAAATGTGGCCTGAATATAGACAATTTTATATTAATTAACTTTTTCTTACCAAGACAAATGAACAAAGTGAGGCATGTTGTTGTAAAGGTAAGGAAAGGCTATCCTGTACTCTGTCCTAATTGGCTGTCTAATTATTATTTTGTTTATATCGTTAAACTCGTTCCAGTCTTCATCACTGTGGAAGAAAATGCAATTAAATCGATTTAATTAAAAGATAACAACAAATAGAAATTGTCCATACGCTGGGTTCATGTCCTTGATGAGAGGCTCAAATTTGGGTCCACCAGGTATTGCCATATTCAATGCTTTGGCTGTGAAAAAGCTTTTTGTATCGAATAAGTAAAAGAAGTTTGTATCAACCAAGTCTGTCAACAGTTGATTGGCAAGTCGATATAAAGTTGCCATCATGGGCAATGTGAGGTTCCATTTTCGATATGTAGGGCCATTAACATGTCTTCAAATATATTAATATAGATGTTACAAAAAAGAATAATGCAATTATAGTTTATTACTTGGTTCCTAATAGTGGTTTATGATCATAAAACCATTTAAGAACAGGAGCATCTTCTTCAGTGTCTAGTTCCATTTGAATAGCTTCTAAGGGCTCCACATCTAAGACATTATCTGCATAATCCAATGGAGGTTCCTCATCATCAAACGGAGGAAATCTCATTCTTTTAAAGTGTCTTCTGTCTCTTTTTTCACGTCTCATCATGATCCACATAGTACTGAAATGATAAAAAAAATTGAATTTATAGTAAAGACATAAAACATATTTCCTTGAGCGTCTTCTTACCCCCATTGTGCGATATATATGGGCTCAATAACCCATGGGATCTCATTCACAAATGTTATAGCTCCTGTTATGTGATAAAGGACTTTGACATCCCGAATTTGTTCCCATGGCATGGGCATGTTTTCCAAAAGCTTCATAACAGCATGGGGCATGTATTTTAAAGCTCTAAAAGTTATAAACATGCTTAAACTACTTCAAAAACAAACTATAATAATAATTAGCATACCCTAAGTAAACCCTTTTATCATGCCGGTACTTTCTACTGCTCATATCACCATGATCTCTGATGATTTTTCTAATATGTTCTGGGGGCATATCCTCTTTCTGTGCATCTACAAAACCTAGTTTACGTTTGTCTGCAAACCTCTTTGATTGCAACTGATGCCATTTTTGAGCTGAAACAAACATTATCACTTTTATACTTATTTTGTGGGTAGAATAAGCATTTACCTTTCTCCTGTAGTTTGTCCTCGGTCATAATATCAGGTTTTGGATGAGGTGGTGGTATTTGCTGTTGTAAAGCATGGGCATGGGCCTGAGCGGCTGCAACCTGGGCTTGTGCATGGGCTGCAGCTGCAAGCTGTTGCTGCTGGGCCATTATAGTGGCCCATGGGTTAGGACCCAGTAAATACGGGGGAATTGACATTTTAATATGACCTATAATAAAAATTATTGGTTATTTTGGATAAAATAAGGAGCGAGTAAATTTAAGGTTATGAGTGATGAAGATATGATTTTAATTTCTTTAACAACTAAAGGACGTTACAAATATGATCGTTTTATATGCAACTACTGCTGAAATTGAAATTGATTATAAAATAGTGGTAGCACACCTGCTTTTCTGGTTTACAGTAAGTGTTTCTAACCTGTTCTTCACTTTCTATCTTAGCATTATACACAAACTAAGCACGTAATAAAAATTTAGTTTGTAACTGAATTACCATATACTATTAAATTACACACACATAACACAGTAGTTCTTTATTTATATTTTTCTCAATCGTTTGAACGTTTTGGAAACGTTTTAACAACATAAAAGACGCCGACAAACAGAAGTTTCACAAATCTATGCAACACTTACAGCATGCTTGTATAATTTTACAGACTTTGGGTAAACGTTTTATAAAAGTTATTCTAGATGCCAGCACAATATGCTTAGATTGAATGAATGTTGTGAGGAGACGGCGTTAGGTGGCGCGTTAATGCACTTCGAGCATCTTAATAAAAATATCCCCGCCAAATCAAATTTAAAATTTGCAGCTGTACGAATAACATGAATAAAACAATTAAAACTTCAAATATTCACGTAGCTAATTGGCAAATATATTTTTCATAATTTATTCTTTCGTTAATTAAGATTTATAACGGTTAGGCGTTTTTAAATAACAAAAAAAATACCTTGTAATGTTGTAAATAAGGGTTCCATTATTTCTTATCATCATTTTGCAATTACTTATTATTCGTTTATAAACAGTAAGTCAAGATCTATATTTACAATCTAATTGTAATGAGTTTTTCGTGTTTTATAACAATGACGTGTTTAAAATTGCACTAATTACAATGCGCTAGATTTAATAGATTACATTTATAGAATAGTGTTTGTTCGTTGATTCCTAAACAAACATTAGAAAAAACTGAAAAGAAGATCGTGATACAACGGTATTAGGTACTAAAATGCTGTTTAGTTTTTCTTCAGTTTTTGTTTTTGCTTATAGTGTACTTTTACTTATTATACAGTGTAAGTTAATTGTCTTTTCTGATCTATTTTGTAAGATTTTCGAGTTACAATTGCAATGATTACAATTTTAATATAATGAAAAAAAAAAAAGAAATTCGGAAAACTGAGATTACTCTTTTTTTTAGCGCCTTTCGGTAATAAAATATTTTGTTGTGTAAAAGCTGAAAGATCGAGTAGAAGTACGCCCTCACAGAGTTTCGATAA